AATGCAGTTTAGATTTATGAATCAGAAACAATTTAGAAATTCAGACAAGCAAAGTAGTCCTGACCTCCAGTGAGCACTTGGTCAAGTTGTTGTCACCAGGGTAGACCTGTCGGTACACAAAATACGGTGAACTGAATATTCCCGCCACAATCCAAACTCCCACACTGACCACACGAGCTGCACATAACGTCCGTCGTTTTCTAGTAACAACTGGGCACCAGACGCAGAGCGCTCGATCCACACTGATGACAGCCAGAAAGAAAACACTGCAGAACATGTTGGCGTACTTGAAGAAACCATTGAACTTGCAGAGAAAGACCCCAAAAGGCCAGTGGTCATAGAAAAGTTTTTTGAGGAGCGAAGTGACTCGTGTCAGGCAGAAGATCAGGTCAGCTACTGCCAGATTGACCAACCAAACGTTAGTGACGTTGGGCTTCAGACGGACACCAGCCACCCAGATCACCACAGAGTTCCCGGTTATGCCAAAGATAATGGTAATGGTGTAGAGGACAATGGTAATATTATCCATAATGGCATCAATGTCCACTTTAGTTTTCTCAAAGACGTCCGAGTGGGAGACGTGCATGAAAAGAGTTGTATTGAAGGCCATTCTGTGAGAAAATAATAAAGTTTAAAATAACATAAACATTTATAGAATATTCTTATAACATTATTAATATTTGATATGCATTCTCATTATGTTGAGAGAAGGCGCTGTTAGAACGTCTTTATGATGTTTTCACTTTATGAAGTTCTTAAAATGTTTAGAAAAAAAATGTGACCTTTTACATAACACTCTAATCACATCAATAAAACTGGACATTTTAACATTTAACAAATCACCATTCCCGCAGTGTTTTACAACATACATTTGTTAGCTAGTAATGCACTTTAAAGGGATAGTTCACTTTGAAATTAATTTTTGATATGTTTTAGCTTACCTCAAGGGCATCCAAGATGTAGCTGTCTTTGTTTCTGCAGTAGTTTCAATTTTGATATTTTTAGGTCAAACCGTTGTCTGTCAGTCAAACAATTCAGGTCTATGGTCACCACCTCAAAGAGCATGCACAGAGAAGTCCATGATTTAATGACTCATAAATGTAAGTAGACTTTGATGGCCTAAGACACGAACGAGCGAGAGATCAGTTCCGGCGCTTTCCAGACCAAAGCGCACACACCCTCAGATCACTACAAGAGGTAAAACGATATAAATACTGTTCGTTTTCTCACACAAACTGCTCGTTTCGTGTCTTAGGCCATTAAAATGTACTTACATTTATGAGTCATTAAATAGTGTTTAATTTTGACTTCTCTGTGCATGCTCTTTGAGGTGGTGACCATAGACCTGCATTATATGACTGACAGACAACGGTTTGACCTAAAAATATCAAAATCGAAACTACTGCGGAAACAAAGACACCTACATCTTGGATGCCCTTGGGGTAAGCTAAAACATACTAAAAATTAATTTCAAAGTGAACTATCCCTTTAAGTTGCTTTAAATAAAAGTGTTTGCAATATCTATAACCTTGCAAACTATTCAATGGTCTACTTCTGAAGTTGGATAAAATACTGGAAAAAAAGTCATGTAATGTGTAAAATATTCAAATAATGTGTAAAGTATTCAAATAATTCTCATGAGTGAATATGGGTACAAGAATATGAGCAAATATTTTCTCTTATTTATTTACAAAACATTTTCTTTGTGCATATATGGGATGGTTATAAAAATATATATTTAAATATAGATTAAACTAGCTATAAAAGTTTGATCACATGACAGAGGCCACCCAGCTCTTGCTCAGAGTCTGTTTTAAAATATCTGTCTGGAAAAAAAAGAAGGATGTTGAACATCTCTGAACCTTTCACCCTTTAACAAAATACAGAATTGAAATCGAAACAGCTGGATTGATTCTTACATGTCTTAAATATAAACTTCATGAATCTGATTCAAGCATTCAGTTTGCTCAGTTTGTCCCCCCAGAGAGCATCTCAGTAAACATTTAATAAAACTTGCAATGTTAATGTGTTCCACTAAACGTTAGCAAACATGCATAAGAGAAGATATTTTCGGGTACACATTGTCATTTAGTGAGCAATTTATCATAGGTCTGTTCAAAGTGTAATTTTATGCTCGTTTTCTGAGTTACACCATATAGATAAATATGAGTTGTCTGGCAACTAAGAGGTTTCAGCACATAAAACTGGTGTTATGAGTTGCTCTGCTGAATCATGAGAGGTCACAACATCTTATTGCATTATTCCCATTACGTTCAGCACTTACTGTTCCTAAAAAAAAAAAAAAAAAGTACTTTTTGAAAAATAGCCTGTTCTCTTGTTTCAGAGTTAATTGTGTTTCTCCTTTTATGTTTCAAAACAAAGAACAGTAGAATATATAAATGAATAAAAAAAAGCTAATAAACCATGTTAAAATCCTCATTAAAAAGTGTATAATATATGATTATAAAATTCAGAAATGCAATAAAATTATCATACAACCTGAAAATGAAATCATAAAGACTTGCAAACAACTTGATTATGAATTGCTTCTTACCTGACAGTCTCAATGAAGGCTTGCTCAATGAATCAGTCTTTGTCGAAACACCACCGCATGGTAATTTGTGAATGTGTTGCAGGAAGTGAATATAAGTGTTTTGATGTTATGTTCAGTGTGCGGGCAAATAAATAAGAGAAGAGGTCATTGACATCACTTCCAGCTGCTTTCCATCTCTCTGAAACCTTTTCTCCCCTTTTTTGTCTGCATGAGATTAGTGGGAAGAGGGTGGAGACATTCACACGAACAAACACAGAAGCCTGAATATATGTGTGTGTTTACTCAATTTGGCCTCAGGGAGAGTTAAAACATATGGTGGTGTGTATGTAATTACTTTAATGTCTATAAAGTACATATTGATAGACACAATTTAACATCAAAACATCACAAAACCAGTACTATGCCACTATAACAACAACAACAGCTATTGTAGGTGTATAATGTTTTACATATGCAATTAACAGTGTCTGTTCAAGATCTTGTGGTTTCCCAAGCATACACCAATGTTTTTTGCATGTGAATAATCATGGTTTCTCTTTGTCATTGTTGCTTGTTTTATTGTCTTGCATCCTGATATGAATTCCCATTAATTTTGTAACCACAAAAGGAAAATGGGTTGAATGCTGTTTCTGTTTAATACATATGACTATTAGCATACCACACTAAAATTAACTTGATTATTGTGGCATTAAAACCACTATCAGTTAATTAAAAATATATATATATTGTTGTTGTTGTTGCTGCTGTCATCATTCATCATTATCATGCAACACTCTCAGAAAAAAAGGTCCAAAAGGTATGCTTTTGTACCTAAAGGGTGCATATCAGTACCTTAATGGTACATATTAGCACCTAAAATGTACACATTAGCACCTAAATTGTACATATTATCCAATAAATGTCCAAATTAGCACCTAAATATCCATATTAGCACCTAGAATGTACATATTAGCACCCAAGTGTACATATTAGCACCTACATATTAGAACCTAAAATATAGCCTACTTAGCACCATGGACAAAAGTTTACCTTTTGTTCCTTTTTTCTGAGAGTGTGTTGTTTCAAATGCGTTTCTTTGTTCTGCTGAAAACAAAAGAAGATATTTTGAAGAATGTTGGTAACTTCTGGTCCCCATTGACGAATTACTGTGGATGTTAGTGGGGACCACTGACAACTGTTTGGATCCCAACATTCTTCAAATTAATATCTATTAATATTTCTCAACAGGACAAAGAAACTCATACAGATTTAGAACAACTTGAGGGTATGAAAATGATGACAGAATTTTCATTTTTGTGTGACCTATCTCTTTAAGTGACTGTTTTTAGGTGAAAGTGGTTTCCTCTTCAGGGAAACTAGACATGAGAAATTGGTATTGCCCTACATATCTGGAGACATAGATATCCATAATAAAGGCTAGACGTCTTACGGTGGAGTCTCTATACCCATCACCGGCGGCCATCTTGTCACAGGAAAGCTTTCTGGCAGGCTCTGTGGTTCCTGATGTGATATAAGTGATCAGCACGAACACAAATACTCTTATCTCACTGAAATCTTGACGGATTTAAAAACGGTTTGGTTTGTTACAAACGTTATAAGCGTGGCTATACTTCTGGATGATAATTTATTTATACACTTTTAATTCATAAGTATGGAGTGTCTCTGACGTTTATAACAAACCAAACCATTTGAAAATCGGTAGAAAATTGAGCAAGTTATGTTTTTTTAAAAAGTACACGAACCATTAAAACACATTGTTACGAGTGTGCGAGCTGCCTGTGACAAGATGGCCGCCAGTTGCGTACGTCCACCTCCATTGGCCAGCAGCGTGGATGAGACTTCTAGCCTCTATTATGGATCTATGTCTGGAGAGGCATCAATATCTTAATGTTGAACTGTGCTGCCACTTACTGCTGAGAGATAGTATTACAGAAGACAACTCTGAAACTCATTTTTTTGACCTATCATAATAATGTGGGCGATTATAGATAGATAAGTTAGGTCAAAGATATAGATAGGTAGGTCAAAATAAATTAATTTTAATGTAATTAAAATTGAAATGTAAAGAAAATAATAGCTTAAATGACCAAAATGTCAAAGTAAGCTTTGATGTCCTGAAAGGCAATACATCAAATGACTGAAATTGTTTTATTACAGTAGCTTCAGGATTAAAGCTTGGAAAAAGTGACATCTTCAGAGGTTAAATAAGGCTAGCTGTGAAAACATTTCAACACAATAGAAAATCACATTTGTGGAAATAAAATTTAAAAAAAGCAACATATTCAAGAAGGAAAGTGTGTGTAGGCATGTGTAGGCAAAAAATGTGATCATCCCACATGAATTATTAATGTTGATTTTTTTGGCACCATTTCAATTCACACAACTGTTAGGCTACATAAAATTCCTACCCCAAAAGGAAGAACAAACGTTTTCCTGTTTCGCCATTTGTTTTGTAATGGTAAAATGTTTTAGACAAAACTAATGGTGAAACACTAGTTTTTCCTGTTCCCGTTTCCAGCAATTCAAGTTTCTGAGTGACTGTCTGACAGCTCAGGTAAAAGTATCTGATTATTTCTGATTAAAAAAAAAATCTGTATAATTTAAATTGTTAAGTGTTCCTTTACAATCTATGTGCACTAATGTTGATCTGCACTCAAAGTGAAAAAGACAAAAAAAAAGGAACAAGAAATCTGAAATCTTTTTTTTCAGATTTCAGCATGAGTGGACCTAAAAACTTGGTTATCATAATCTGGATATTGAGAGGTGAGAGACTTGGTGTTATTGATCTGTTGGGTTTGAAATATAAGCCTAGAGTTTTAAATTAATGAACAAATACTAAATGAGTGTTTATCAAAATGGTGCTATTTATAAGGATGGGTGTCAGTTTAACTCGCACTTCAATTGCTTTGCCATGTATTAAACTAACATGTCATGTGTGTTTATGTATGAAGGTGCTGAAATCAACACGTGGGAAATTAAGATGCCTCAGAATATAGATGCGATGAATGGCTTCTGTGTTCATATTCCATGTCAGTTTGAGATCCCCGACTCATTCAAAACGTCTCTAGACAACTCTGTAAAGGCGATGTGGAAAAAAACAACCATAGACGGAGCGATCGCGCTCGGTTCAGGAAATGTGATCGGCAACATCTTAAACAGAAATTGCACTACAGTGTTTCACAACGTTTCTGCTGGTTTCAGTGACATGTATTTCTTCAGACTTGAGGGTCACGAACCTCTCTTGTATACTTTTAGGCAAGGAGTGAACATCACAGTCCATAAAGGTTGGAATCGTTCTTACATTTTATTTTTGGGAGGGATTGGGTTGGGGCATTATGATGATAATGTCTTAAAGGGTATATCATGCTTTTAAATCATTCATTTTCATATAAATCATACATTTGTGGTCTACATAAAGCATAACTGCAATGCTTGGGTCTGAATTCCTCATTATTATAGCTCCACAGGCCCCTTTTCTACCCCTTTTCTGATGTGAGTCTTTGAGCAACTCGTTTTAAAGCGGCCCCTTTAAATAAAAAGGAGATGCGTCATACCCCGCCCGTTCTCCAGGTCGCTGAGTTCGCGGTCGTTTCAACTCCACCCCGTTCGACCATTCTTGTAGTTTGATTAGAGATATATCCAATTATACACTATAGCTTCAAAGAACATTTTTATTCACACGTTAACAAAATGTCAACAACGGAAGACTTGTCCATCAAGCCTAACATATTCGAGCCAGAGCGAGCGACTTGAAAAAGACGACGACAAACCTGCAGAACAACGTTTTCATATGGATGCAGTGGTATGTAACTGTATTGTGTTATTAGTGAAAGTCGACTATTTCTCTTGTTAAAACAAGCACACTGACAAGATAAATAACTACGGTTTAATCTTACCACAAAAAATCTGTATTGATAATATGATACGTTTAGAAACGCATCAGAAAACACAGCTAAATTACCATTGATGAAACTCAACTCAAGAACGATACGTGTAACATTACTTCAAAACAAAAACAAAGAAAGACAAAGCTACTACTTAACCCTGACCATCATGTGTTTAAGAAAGTAATTACTTTATTTTTATTAATGATATTTACAGCTTATCGAAATGCTCTGTTCGTCGTCTCAAAGGTAGAAGGAATTTACCTCTCATTCAGACGAAGTCAATCGGCAAACCCTTCTATACTGGCGGAGGTTGACGTTGGTTTCCTTGAAGTGCGTCGGGTCACTACATCCAACAACCGAACATTTTGACTTGCCCTCTCGTAACTTCTGCATCCTTGAGCTCGGACTACAAAATCGGAGCGAGAAATAATAATGGCGGATTACTCGAAGTGTTGGGCCAGTAGTCAATGTCCTTATTTGTCAGTTCGGCTGCAAATACTGTGATGTAATTGTTCAAAAAACGTCATAGAGAACAGAAAAATCTGAACAGGTTGAAAAAATATGACCAAAACAGAATATAAAGATATAAATGAAGCACCTGAAGAGAATAATTTCATCTGTTGTGTACTTATAAACACTCCAAATATACAACAAAATGCATTTAAGGCCTAAAAAAGTGGATTTTGCATGATATGTCCCTTTTAATTCGATTATTCTTAATTCCAAGACGCTCCACCGCCTGTCCTGAACTCACATGTTCAGGTGCTGGAAGTTCTAGAGGGCTCCGAGTTGACATTGACCTGTTCCACTGTGATCTCATGTCCCTCAATGCAACCTCTGATGCAGTGGAGCCCACAACTAGGAGAACAGCTCACACCAACCCTAAAGGTGAAATCAGGCAAATCATGATGATTGTAAATTACAGTTCTGGGTCATGACGCTTTAAACTTTGTTTTCTTCTTAAGGAGGATGAATTTGGACAGAAAATGTTGGTCTCCTCTCAGATGTTCAAAGCTACGCCTCTAAATGACCACCTTAAAGTCTCCTGCACTCTTTTGTACTCCCAGGGTGCCACAAGACAAGTTGAGACCAGCGTTACCGTCAGAGTGCTTTGTAAGTGAAACAGTGAAAGGAAAGCAATTATATTATGTATTATATTGGCCCTATCCCAAATGGAACACTAAAGCCTCAAAGTATCCACCTTATTTTGCAGCCATTTATAATTTAAATGTGTCTTGCTTCTGGTGTCATTCATTACCAGTTAGTTTTAGGTGTACAAAGGAGCTCCTTATGCCGCTTGATATTGCAAACTGGTATTTTTTACATAGCCTATTATTTTGATCTAGGTTAGTGTCTCAATTAAACAAGCTGGTTTGTGGCGCAAACTGTTTTACAGTATACTGTACTTTGATATTTTTTTCTCCTTATTACCCTATAGCAGCTCAGAAATTGAAAGTCTCGCGCATTCACAGAGAACACCTTACTTACGTTTTGAAAAGTAAGGTGGGGTAGTAGCCTACTCTGTTTTTTTACATGTAGGTGTGTGTGGGTCCATATAGTGAGATCCCAATTTCGTCACCAGAATAGTATGCCCATACTGTAAGAAAAAGTGCATATCAAAGACACATTGAAGAGACCATCTTTTCACAATTTTAATTTGAAAGGCTCGTGCAAATACAGTGGGTACGGAAACTATTCAGACCCCCTTAAATTGTGCACTCTGGTTATATTGCAGCCATTTGCTAAAATCATTTAAGTTCATTTTTATCCCTCATTGTACACCAAGCATAGTCTGACTACGTCAGACTTCCTACTTCCGCTAATTTAATTTCGCTCCTGTAGTCCGTCTGAGATAGCAGCATATCTTTCAGTTTTCCACCGGCCTGAAAACAGCCGGCCAATCAACGAACAGAGGGCGGGCTGAGAGCCGTGACGTAGACGCTAAGCTCCGAGTTTTACATTGTAGGTTAGAGAAATCGAAAACCGAAACGGTCGCAGAAATGGGAAACAAGACACGGGAAGCAATTCGCTCTGTTATGGAGAACATTCCGGGGGTTTTCAAACTGAAGCAAAAGGCGTTTACAGCCGTGTTTACTCCGATATTTCGCTCGCATCATCAAGTGTTTACAGCCAGGACCGGCGCATGCACTTCTGCCACTCTAGGCGAAAAACGATTTTGCTCCCCCTCTATTTGCAACATATACCAGCAAAAACCAGCATGCTTGGACATTATGTAGCTTGCACAACGCGCGTACACTTTGATTCTCTCATCAACACAGATGCAGCCGTTTTTATTTTTGCAAACCATTATAACAAGGAAAAATATTAACACTTCAAACTTAGACATTTAGGCTACCCAATTTTTTTCAGGCTAATTGTAGTAACGACGGATCAGACCTGTTTGGCCATAACTATATGCATAACTATAAGGACATAACTTACCCCCATTCAACGTCAGTTCTCCGTCTTTTACGGCCATGACACGAACGTCGGTCTCCTCGGCTGTGAACGCTCCTGGCGCGCTCTTATTGTCATATTATTATTATCATAATAATAACAACAATCCACCATATTTCGTTTCGACATCCTGCTGCATTGATCCCAGATATGTGTTCATTGCATATGACACGTGACAAATGAACGTAAGACTCGGAAGGTAAAGTGATTAATTGTTCCCTGTAAATCATTTTTTTACTGCATTATGATTTCTTAATTCAGAATATGATCAACATTGCGTAGGTGGATGTGATCGGGGGAATTTGGCTGTTAAAATTATAACATTAAGCTACTTAAATAAACGAAATGGCTCGAATGACTCAGAGAATCAGTAAAATGAACTTCCTATTCATGACTCGCGAGAGCAGGGGCTTGGTCTCGCCCTCGCGGCGCTGCGGGGCGGCGGAAGCTAAATCAGTCATGACTTGTGAGAGCAGGGCACGCCGACGCTGCGGGGCGGCCGCAACTCATTAAATCATATAAATAACCTAGTTTGTGAATTGTTCATTCCTGGTTGGCACACATTTTGCAGCCTTTATAAAAGCGCCGTTCACTGTTTACAGTGGAATAGAAGTTCGACCATAGATTTGAGTTCGATGCATAATGTCTCGGCGCGACTGTGTCGGCGCAGAGCATGTCATAAATAAACTTATATGATTGGCTTACGGGTAACCAATGAGTTTAAACTTCAGAGAAGCGCCTCCTTGCGAGAGAGAAAACACTTCTCTATTATGCCATTCCAGACTCTGTCTACGAAGCAAAGTGAAGTAGCATAGTCTGGTATTACCAGGCTACACCAAGCACCCCATATTGACAGAAAAACACAGAAGTGTTGACATTTTTGCACATTTATTAAAAAGAAAAACTGAAATATCACATGGTCCTAAGTATTCAGACCCTTTGCTCAGTTTTTAGTAGAAGCACCCTTTTGATCTAATACAGCCATGAGTCTTTTTGGGAAAGATGCAACTAGTTTTTCACATCTGGATTTGAGTATCCTCTGCCATTCCTACTTGCAGATCCTCTCCAGGTCTGTCAGGTTGGATGATAAACGTTGGTGGACAGCCATTTTCAGGTCTCTAGAGATGCTCAATTGGGGTTAAGTCAGGGCTTTGGCTGGGCCATTCAAGAACAGCCACAGAGTTGTTGTGAAGCCACTCTTTCGTTATTTTAGCGGTGTGCTTAGCATTGTCTTGTTGGAAGGTGAACCTTCAGCCCAGTCTGAGGTCCAGAGCACTCTGGAAAAGGTTTTCGTCCAGGATATCCCTGTACTTGGCCGCATTCATCTTTCCCTCGATTGGAACCAGTCGTCCTGTCCCTGCAGCTGAAAAACACCCCCACAGCATGATGATGCCACCACCATGCTTCACTGTTGAGACTGTATTGGACAGGTGTTAAGCAGTGCCTGGTTTTCTCCACACGTACCGCTTAGAATTAAGGCCAAAAAGTTCTATCTTGGTCTCATCAGACCAGAGGATCTTATTTATCACATCTTGGAGTCCTTCAGGTGTTTTTTTTAGCAAACTTTGACTGAGGAGAGGCTTCCGTCGGGCCACTCTGCCATAAAGCCCCGACTGGTGGATTGCTGCAGTCATGGTTGACTTACTACAACTTTCTCCACAGTGATCTTTGGGTTCTTCTTTACCTCTCTCACCAAGGCTCTTCTCCCCCGATAGCTCAGTTTGGCCGGACGGCCTGCTCTAGGAAGGGTTCTGGTTGTCCCAAACGTCTTCCATTTAAGGATTGTGGAGGCCACTGTGCTCTGAGGAACCTTAAGTGCAGCAGAATTTTGTTTGTAACCTTGGCCAGATCTGTGCCTTGTCACAATTCTGTCTCTGAGCTCTTCAGGCAGTTCCTTTGACCTCATGATTCTCATTTGCTCTGACATGCACTGTGAGCTGTAAGGTCTTATATAGACAGATGTGTGGCTTTCCTAATCAAGTCCAATCAGGATAATCAAACACAGCTGGACTCAAATGAAGGGGTAGAACCATCTCAAGGATGATCAGAAGAAATAGACAGCACCTGAGTTAAATATATGAGTGTCACAGCAAAGGGTCTGAATACTTAGGACCATGTGATATTTCAATTTTTCTTTTTAAATAAATGTGCAAAAATGTCAACAATCCTGTGTTTTTCTGTCAATATGGGGTGCTGTGTGTACAATAATGAGGGGAAAAAACGAACTTAAATGATTTCAGAAAATGGCTGCAAAATAACAAAGAGTGAAAAATTTAAGGGGATCTGAATACTTTCTGTACCCACTGTACTTAGCAGAAGAACACAAAAATTGGCCTTAAGTCCACAAGACCGCAAGTGCACATGACGTGTCCGCCATTTGGCACAGGGCCATTATTTGTTGTCAAATGTACTTATCCGATTGGTGACCTATAGTACAGAATGTTAATTATTATTCAATTAACATCATAGTGTTTCTTTAATTTGTTTTTTATTCAAGACATTCTGTTTATTTAAAATTATATTTTGAATCTCAGATTTATTGTACTGGTCTCTGAATGTTGGGTTCCTATGTTATTAAAGGACACAGGTCAGTCTTCTCTTTCAGATGCTCCCAAAAACACCATAGCCCTTATGAGTCCATTGGGTCCAGTGTCTGAAGGCAGTGCGGTGATCCTGAGCTGTCACAGTGATGCCAACCCTGCTGTCACACGCTACGAGTGGTACAAAGACAGTGGATCCGGGACGCTAGTGTTGCAGAATCAAGGACAGACTCTTGCATTAATAGCCAGTAGTGATGTTCAGGGTCTGTATGTCTGCAAGGTCTACAACAACCACGGGACCGACCAATCGAGGGCTGTCACTGTGGGCATAAACAGTAAATATCACCTTTACTAAGTTAGTTAACTTTACCATTTCTTTTCAGAACCTTGGGTTTTTCCTAGCAAACAAGCTACTTTTGGTAACACTTTAGAATACCGTTCCTTCGTTGATGAATAACTACACAAGAACCAATGAGTAACACAATATTAACAATCTAGTCAGAAACTCTGATTAACAAATTAAGTAATAGCGCACAGATAAAAGAGGTACTTCACTAATAACTAATCAATAATAAACTAATTTTTGAATGCTTCCCAGAGAACTACTGAAAAAGTTTATCAAAGCTACACTGTGTGATTTTTACCCCCATCTAGCGGTGAAAAGGTATATGACCATCTAGTGAATATTAGTATTATAATATTAGGCAACATGGTGACCGACCATAGATAGTATAAGAAATGGACAGAGGAACCCCATTGAGACGATTGAAGCCTGTTTTTGGCGATTTTTTTAGCACTTCCGTCCCTGACGCACAGACTCAAACAGAGCTTGACGACGTAGATGTGACGTGATCGACCCGTCTGTCTTCTAGTGCTGTGCCATGAGAAATCTGAATCATTCCCCTCCCAAACATACTGAGGTGGAGTGTGTGCGTAGGAGCTGTCCATGAGCTAGGAGCAGGAGAAACTTTATTCTGATTAATTATTTTGTCATTTTGCCTCCACGTTTCCCCGATTGACCGCGAGCTTCTTCTCCTGTCCATATGATAATCTCTCTACTGCGACAGAGAGTCGCGTGGGTATGACACAATCGTTCGCCTACTTTCACTAAAACTGCTTCTACGGGGCCATAACATAAGCCACAAGGTAATGGAGCATTTTACAGATTGTCGTGTTTCTTTAGAAATAAATAAAGGACAAATGGGGTCATCAAACGCCTCAGATGTAAAGTTATTCGCTGTCAAAGTGACGCCAAAATGAATGGGAGTCAATGGGAATGCTAACGCAAGTGAAGTTCTGCTACAAGATGGCAGCTCCCGCGAGGCTTCAACTTCCGGTCGATGGATTGCCCCCTTGCGACCGACATAGAACCCCTTACCCGTATGTATGGCATATTATACACTCACGAGAATACTTTATTACTTGAACGAAGTAAATATACATTAATGAGCACATATATTTTTGAAAGAACTAAGTGTTTTTAGCTAAGAATAAACTAAAAGAGTTACACAGTGTAGCTTTAACAATCTAGTAACTACGATTAACTAAAAAGAAACACTGATTAACGAATTAGTCAGTAATAGCGCACAGATGAAAGTGGTTCAACTAATCAATAACTATGTCATGATTTGTGCAACCAAACACAAAAGTCATTTCAAGCATTTGAGATTTTTGGTGAACTTTTTAAATCGGATACTTTTAGAAATTTTCTTTAGAAGTATGTGACACTTCACTTGAGTCATTACTAGTTAGTTCCCATGATCTTTACTTTAGAATACGGATCCAAATAATTAGTAATTAAGTGTAAAATCTTCTAATCCCTCACAAGATATGCACACACACACACACATATATATATATATATATATATATATATATATGAGCTAGGAGACATACATAAAAATATATATTTTTGGGGGGAGGTAGGTTAAATAATTAAATAATAAATAATATGGTATTTGGGTGGCTGATGACTTAATATGTTCCAGTAGCCCATACTCACCATGACTCAGTTATTCAATGCCAGTCCAGAGGAATGCTGGGAAATTGGCCACAGGACAAGTACGGTCCTGACAACTGCATTTACAAATCCATTTCTTTAAAATTATTCAGTTGATAAATAGACAGCATAGGCCAATTATTAACAGCTTTTCCAAATAATAAGTCTGCTATTACCTATTGATAATGTAAACAACCTTGTGTACTCATTTAGAGTAGCAGTTAAAATGTTAATGCAGTGCTAGTCATTTGTCCTGCATTGGTTATTGATTAGTTTTGCATTAATTAAGAAGCTTTTTCAGTAGTTCTCTGGTAGTTCCACTTCCATCTTCCAACAACTTACTAGTTCGTTAATCAGAGTTTCTTGTTATAGTTACTAGATTGTTAACTTTGTGTTACTGATTGGTTCTTGTGTAGTTATTCATTAACGAAGGAACCGTATTCTAAAGTGTTACCCTACTTTTTTCCAAGGAATATCAGTGTAACATGAGAAAACTGAGCGACCTGAGGCTAAAATATCATTCTCTTTCTTACGCGAGGCATCAGGTGGTCCGGTTCATTTTAGTGATCTGATTCATTTGGTTGGTTCATTTAATCAAATTTAATTTATTTGAATCCCTAAACAGATTGCACTGCATTTTATGTCTTATTTTTTGTATCGATTTGTATCGATATACAAAATGTTGCTAAATAATAAAGCTTATATAATATAATATAGCTTATATTTAATTTGATTCTTTTAATTAGCAAGCAAGCAAGCGCTGTTACAGGAATAATTGACTCAAAATCAAACACAAGACATATCATGTCAAATCTTAACGAGCATTGGGAAATTCTAGGAAGTAAGACAGGAAAAAAATATGATTTTAATGTCTACCGGCATGTGTATTCAATTTAAGGGCAGGGAAAATACTTGTTTAAATCAAAACTTTTTTTTTGTTTGCATGTTTACATGTCTAGGATTTAGCTGTATGCTTTCTTTTCATCATCTTGGACATCTTTCTGTGTCATTGACCCATAATCGCTTTAGTACAGTGATATCATCTATGCTTCACTAATGATGAAGGTGATTCATGACCAATTCTTTGAATGGCAGAGTTGATGTGGCTGCAATAACCGGACACAAGGTTCGATGGGTGTAAACAAACAATTAAATTAGAAACTACAACCAAACCACATCAAAATACATTTGTATGATTATCAGTGGGCAGTTCGTTGATGTGTAAACTTGCTAACCTTAAGAATGTTCATTCTCAGACCATGTGTAACTGCAATGTGGAAGTAATGTGCTTTTTATGAACATGAGTTATGTATCTTCCTGGGTGTTCTTGTGGTATGCAGTTTTATTTGTCATAATATAGTGACGTAAAATCAGCTAAAGCTTTTATTCTATTTTTCTGTCTGATTCAGGTTGCCAGTGCTCCATTGCACTGTACATTATATGTGGACTTCTGGCGCTTTTCTTAATTCTCATTACTGCAATCGATGTGCTCAAATACAAAAGGTGAGTTTTGAAAAAAGATTGCAAACAGCAAGAACTTTGACATCATAACATGATTTAGCCTGTTTTTAAATATGAGTAAGAGCTGTGCGTGTAAACCTCACTCCCCTGGCCTCAAGTGGCCCTCCCCCTTATGCCGGAGACTGGTCGAGTAGGTCTAGTTACATTTGGTGCCGTTTACCCAGATGGGAGTGAGTGTAACTGTGTGTTTCCTGTTAAAATAAGGGGTCACATTCTGCTCTTTCAGAAAAAAAGGTACAAAAGCTGTCACTGGGACTGTACCTTTTCAAAAGCTAAACTTTTGTCCATTTTAGGGGCTAATATGTACAGTTTAGGTGCTAATATGTACATTTAGGTGCTAATATGTACACTTGGGTGCTAATATGTACATTTTAGGTGCTAATATGGACATTTATGTGCTAACATGGAAATTTATTTGGTAAAATACATTTTAGGTGCTAATATGTACATTTAGGTGCTAATATGTACATTTGGGTTCAAATATGTACATTTTAGGTGCTAATATGTACATTTAGGTGCTAATATGTACACTTGGGTGCTAATATGTACATTTTAGGTGCTCATATGGACATTTATGTGCTAACATGGAAATTTATTTGGTAAAATACATTTTAGGTGCTAATATGTACATTTAGGTAATAATATGTACATTTGGGTTCTAATATGTACATTTTAGGTGCTAATATGTACTTGGGTTCTAATATTACATTTTAGGTGCTAATATGGATATTTATTTGCTAATATGTACATTTTAGGTGCTAATATGTACATTTTAGGTTTTAATATGGACATTTAAGTGCTAATATGTACCATTAAGGTACTAATATGCAACCTTTAGGTACAAAAGCGTACCTTTTGAAAACGTACAGCCTGACAGCTTTTGGACCTTTTTTTTCTGAGAGTGTGACATGAATGGGAATATAATATGTCTATAGGGAAAGATATATCCAGCAGCATTGCAGTAGCTCTGCTAGCGCATTACCCCCCGCCAGAATTTATTGTGATTTATTTTATTTAAATGTTCAATTATTTATTTAGAATACACAATTATGAATGGCCACCAATAGAGAAAGCTGTATTTTGTGTAATGTTGTAGTTACAGGATCCAACAGTAGAAGCTAATGAGGCTATGCTAACCACCAGTCACTTTGACCCATTTGGCATTTCTCCAGGTTTATTGACTCATTTGCAAACATTTTTTATTTAACTCTTATTACACATGTATTTTATGCCAAATTCATGTTCTAAAACAAATGAAAGTCACACCTAAATGAATCCCCAAAACATTGCGAAAATATTGTTATAAGTAAAAATAAGTTAAAATATGATCATTCTAATCATTGGGATTTTAATTGTTAATTAAGTTCTATGCAAAATGTCGGTAACCCTTTTAAGGTCAACATTAGTAAATGCATTAGCTAACATGAACTAACAATGAGCAACTTTATGTTAGTATTTTTTTTTTGTAAAAATCCAATTGTAAATTAACAAATGTGAACTTTGGATTTTAAAAATGTATTAGTAAATGTTGAAATTACCATTGATTAAGAGGAATAAATGTTCGCTCTGCATTGTTCATTGTTAGTTCATGTTAACTAAAACTAAACAGAAACCTTTTTATAAAAAGTGTTACCAAATTATGTTATTTCTTCTCTTTTCAGCCTATTAAAAAGACTTCAAGTAAGTATAACACCGTCATAAATCATGCCAAGGTATAGAGCAGATAAACAGAAGTATCATATAACACAAACTTTGTTTTCGGGCACATTTTCTGGGTGTGGACGATTTATTATCAAAATTATGATATGGAAGAATTTCTCTGAGTTCAAGATATTTGTCATTTTCAAAGACTTTGCAATTGCATTTGTCTTTTGTGCAATTAGAAGTTTGAAGGCATGAGAGAATCCATGATGTATGCGACCCTCCACAGGACCAGTGACTCTGTATACAATGTAATACAGGTCAGTGTTTTGGTATTAAAGGTTATTTTGCTAAAACAACATCCTTCTATTTGAACGTGATTATGCTTGGCGTGCAACTTTGAAAGATGCATTGAAGACCTGCTACAACAGTTGCATTTCTTATTTCTCTGTAAGTTGTGTTTAGATACTATGGGGCTTTTTCTGACCTATTCAATCAACAGTTAAATCAAGAGACAGGAAATGGATATTTATATTTCTCAGAAAACAGGAGTTGTGCAAGCATAAACACTGATGGGCTGATCACTTGATGCTATGCATGTGACAAAAGCTTTGTGGTGTGAACAAGATAGACAGCCCATTCTCACTCCCAAAGCGTCACCTAACTGACGCCTTGGGAAGCATTTGACCATGCTTCAATATCTGACGCTTTTTAAGGCGCCCTTTAGCGTCAGTTAGATGACGCCCTAGGATCGCGTGTACCCTACCCCCACCTCATACCTAAACCTAACCGCGTCATCTAACTGACGCTTTCCTTTAGCGTCAGTTAAGGCCAATTTATACTTCTGCGTAGGGTGCGCGCAGTAGGTACGGCGTAGCATACGCACAGACGCGTCCCATACCGCGTACCCTTCGCCGTCGCCTGACGCGCACCTCCTCAAAAATGTAACTACACGTCGCGACGACGCGGACCGCAAGATCGGTGATTGGTTGGCTTGGTAGCATCGCATTTCCTCCTACGCATTTCCGCACGTACCTTCTCACGCATTTCCACCACTGTCTATGATTTCCACAAGTTTCATCTCCTCCGAAGTCTTCTCTCATTTCTGCCTTTCAGTTTTAGTAATTTCACTAAAGTGAACTGTTTTTCCACCTTAATAAGCTCCAATTCCAACATGATCAGCTCTCTTTCACTCGTAGTAACCTAGCCGCGAGGAATCTAAACACAGTGGAACATTAAAACTCTCCGCCGCCAACTAGCGTTTCGGAGCAGTACTGCAGAGCAACCAAGACCTGAACGCAGAAGTATAAATGCTCACAACGGCGTCGCCTACCCTCGACGCAGAAGTATAAATTGGCCTTTAAGCCTGTTTTATGCTTCTGCGTCGAATCGACGGCGTACCCCCGCAGACCCCTATCCGTCGACGCGAACCCCTCTCCGACCCCTGCACCTCCAAAAATTTGTAACTACGCGTCGAGGCGACGCAGACAGCAAGGGCTTTGATTGGTCAGATTATACATCAATTCAGGAGTGTAGCTTTTCCGATTTCCCCCTCCCGCTATTAGCGCTATTTTTAACATTTGCACCCTTGTTCTGATAATTATAATACTCTTATAAAGAAAGTAAATAAAGAATTAATCTAAAAATAAACTGTTTTTTATTTCATTGTTAATATATATGTCTATATTCTTTTCTTTCTTTTTTGCTCGCAATAAACTTCAATCAATCAATAAATCAACGTTTGTTTTGAAACACAGTTTGTTGTTTATTTTCAATACAATGTTCACGGTTACATCATTGATAATACAGTACTAACCAAGTCTGCCACTGGACACCCCTGCAAACAAGCCTGCACTGGCCCTGTCCGGGCCCACTTAGGGCTAGCCTAAGGGCCCCCTGCAGGCTGCTAGCGCAGGGCCCATGAGAATTTGCTCATTGGCAAAACGTTGGGCCTGCATGGGCAGCCCTCACTTAGCCCTCACTAAACCCACACAGGGCCCGCACACTGGGCCCACAAAACATTGGCCCTGCATGGGCAGCCCTCACTTAGCCCCAAGGAATCCCTCACTAAGCCCACACAGGGCCCGCACCGCACACACAGGGCATCTACAACAATAGATCTAGTTCACAATTAATCTGTTTCACTATAAATACTTTTTGGCTAATATAACTATAAGTCTTTGGGAAAAACAATTATTCTATACATCTGAAGTCACCACATAACTAATTTCTGTATTTTCACAAATGTACAGAAGTCAAAGGGATTTCAAATCAATGTATTTATTAATTACAAAACATAAAACATTAAATTCAGGTTATTATATATAATATAATTACACTATTATATATTCACATAAAAAACAGAAACATAGAAAACAGCTGTTTTACATTATGATAAAATTTCACAATATTACTGTTTTTTTTTTTAAATAAATGCAAATAAATGCAAGCTTGATAAGCAGAATAGACTTCTTCCAAAATGTTTCCAAATTTTTTACCTGTATACTGTATATGATTTTATACAAAATAAATAGTAGTTAATAAGATTGACACTGTATTATATCTAGTAATATTGAAGCTAAACAGAGTCCCTATAACAGTGCAATTTGTAGATTTTTAGTCTTCGAGAAAATGTTTTATGAGTTGCAAACCTCTTTTTCTTTGCTTTCTTTCTCTCTCTCACAAACACAACACATCAGTTACACAAAACATCAGTTAAATTCTTCATTGCAGGTGCACAAATCCTATTCTAAAAATTACCAAACTCATAGGGTCATATTTTTGTTGATAAACAGTAACATTTTGGCCAATTATGCACATTTCTTGGTGTATAATTTTGTGAATCATCTATACTGTTTGGCTATTCTCATGTGGTCACACTTCACTTTTCATTCACAGTCACATATGCTCAAACCCCGTGTGGCCGTGCCTTAAATGTCAGCATACATTTCTTACAGGGCTGTGCAAAAGTTAATTGCGATTAATTGCATTCAAAATAAAAGTCTGTGTTTACATAATATATTTGTGTGTGCTGTATATAATTATTTTGTATTAGGGCTGTGAAACGATTAATCGCGATTAATCACATCCAAAATAAAAGTTTGTGTTCACATAAATTATATACGTTTGTGTAGTGTGTATAATTATTTTGTATATATATAAACACACACACATGCATGTATATATTTAAGAAATATTTGCATGTTTGTACTGTATATATGTTTATACAAAATTAATATTATACATAAATATAAATCTTTGATATATCAATAACACATTTTTCTTAAATATATACATGCATATGTGTGTATTTATATATACAAAATAATTATACAGACATATATCATGTAAACACAAACTTTTATTTTTGATGCAATTAATCGTTACACAGCCCTATATTGTATATATAAATACACACACATGCATGTATATATTTAAGAAAATGTGTTATTCATATATAAAATATTTATATTTATATAATATAGATTATGTATTCATATATATATATATATATATATATACACAGAATTTAAGTGCAAATAATTCTTAAATATATACATGCATGCATAGGTATTTATATATACAAAATAATTATATACAGCACACACAAATATATTATGTAAACACAAACTTTTATTTTGGATGCGATTAATTGCAATTAATTTTTGCACAGCCCTTTTTGTGATTTGAAAAAAAGAAAATTATTTGTACACCTCCAATGAAGAATTTGAAAAGCTGTAACTGCAGTGTTTTTTGTGAAAGAGAAAAAAGTTTGAAACTTAAAAAAAAAAAAACGTTCTCTCTGTGACTACTTTACACCTGACTACTTTTAACTGACTACGTTACACCTACAGATTCCACTGTCACAGGTGCTCTGTTTTGCTATAATGAAACCTTTACAGAACATGATAGTAATCCGCCATCCATGTAAAAGCAGAGGTCGGTGTGGTGTACAGGTACATCTGTCCAGCCAACATCTCACGCCTTGATGCCTTCCACTGTGGATCCCAGAAAACCTGCAAAAAAAAAAAAAAAAAAAAAAAAATACAGTTCAAAATCTATCATACATAATCATACATCTGGTATCACAAATTATTTCAGGTTATTATAACAATTCCAGGTTCAATCAGGTTAATGCTCAATATTAGAGCTGCACAATACTAAAAACCTTAAATAAAATATTTTGTTTATCTGCTGCTATATATATTGCGATATAAAAACAAATTTCAAGAGATTATTGAGTGAATCTGCATTGAAAATTATAACAAATTACAAGTATTGATAAATTCAATAGAAGAAAAATACAATTGAAATAAGCAGTGCATGAAGTTTTTTCGGAAAATCTAACTTATCAGGTACGGAAATTGAATTATCTAATGTAAAATAAGTCTTCACTGAGGTACAGCCTCTCTCTACTCTTACAAAATGACAAACAACCAGCCTGAAAAACACATGACAATGACACAAGATAATGTCTATAATAAATAGTGTGTGTGTAATTTCTTCAGTACCGTCAGCAGAACTGATAACATCTGAGCTTATCGATACTGCAGTCTTCCTTAATTTGGCCCCAGGGCCCGTTTAATATTTAATACCGGGTTTCGGAACCTATTCCTACATATGGGTGAGTTCATATGGATGAAGGCCTGTTGTGTTTGGCCTCTTGGTTTGTGATGGTGATATAGCTATTGTGAAACTCACCTTCGTCATGTACTGGGTGTGGATGGCATCAAGATCTTGTCCTGAAGAATCACAGGATCAAATGATATCTCGTCTGGTAACAAGAGCACAGCCATAACCCCCTGAATTCAGCATTTGAAAGTAAAAAGAATTTCAGTATTTATCAGTCAAACATACATAAAAAAATAGCTTTGAGTTGGACAGTATGGTGTCTCATTGGCCAACATAATTAAAAACACACCCAGAGAAAAAATAAAATAAAATAATAATAATAATATATATATATATATACTGTATATATATATATATATATATATATATACCCATGACTATTATCCTGAATTATTATAACTATGACTATTATAACATTATATTTGCCACCTATTATTTAGCTTCTCAAGTACAATGTCACTGAAAAAAACTGTAGTTAATGAATTTAAAGTGAGAGACTTCATTCAAAATCATAAATCCTACAGACCCACAACAATTAAACAGTATGTATGAAGTTTTGCTTACTATAGTCGAGGTCATAGCCGTGGAGATTGTCTTGGACCCCAGGGGGTGCAGCAGGACATCTATGATGATCTTCAAGAAAATAACATGCAATGTGTCACAGAGCCAACAATATTACATTGAATTTACAATAGAACAAAGGGTTTAATACAAGGAAGCAAGCTAGAGCATAGCTAAAGAATATACATAAAAAATCTTAAGGTAATATATTGTGCAATAATGCATATGAAATAATTATCATGATTAAACAATAATTCCCCTTTGTTGTGTTTTTTTCCTGTTCCTTCTGAAATCACTTATTACCAATATTTGTAAATGACGTCATTAAGTACGTTACAATGAATTCTTTAAAGGTTAAATAACTTAGCTAACTTCCAATCACCCATTGACAAATTACCAGCAAAACAAAACTATCAAAAACTGTTATCAACACAAAAATGTGGTTAAAAACCCACACTTATGTAAAACAAGAGCTCAATTGTAACGTAAACAACTTAACGTTAACGTTAACGTTAGCTCTTCTGAAAACGGTTCAGTCAGATGCTAACGGACTTTATCGAAGACACAAAACTATTTCTATAAAGTAAATATTCAACAGAAGTGTATCAATTACACGTAAGACATATATCAGGAAGGTTTGTATGTATTATTTGTGTGATTTTGGTAACTAGACTTACCTGAAAGCAGAGAAAACAACAGTGAGAGACGCTAGTTTGCTGTTTGTCAGTTGATGGGTTTCCTCGTTTCCATGGTTTCCATCTGCTCGCGCGCTCCTGTCTTTGAATCAGATTTGAATGCGACTCGCGCACGTACGCCCATATTGAAACCATAGAACACGTCAAAAGGCACGCAGCATTTAAATAAACATCTAGAATTATAACATTTAACAATTTAAAATATCGTTAATTTTATATAATGAATTTAAACTCATTGTGTAGTTCTATGACCCATTCAGTTGACAATTATGCCTTTTAATACCATTTTGCTTTTACTTTTATTGTAAAGCAATTTCATGACATCTGTATTATATAAAGGCCTACATGTAATATAAAGAGCAACGTGTAATATAAACATGTAACATAAAGTGTGGAATGAAACTGCAACAGGCCCGTAATTTCATTACCATCTTTATATAAAGAGTGCTTTCTTATTCTCTTATATATATATATATATATATATATATATATATATATATATATATATATATATATATATATCTTAAAAAAAATAAAACATTTTTAAACAATTTAAATATATATATATATATATATATATATATTTAAATTGTTTAAATTTTTTTTTAAGAGAATTAAAATTACCAAGTTAGTGCTTTCTTATTCTCTTTATATATATATATATATATATATATATATATATATATATATATATATATATATATATTATTAGTGCTTTCTTATTCTCTTAATATATATATATATATATATATATATATATATATTTATTATTTTTTTTTATTTTTATTTTTAAGAGAATTAAAATTACCAAGTTATTATGATTAGAGGACGTACTGACGACATTGTGGGCATGTGGGAAAATCTAAATGTGGGCTACCTAAACTAAACCCGCATGGGCCCAAAGGTGCAAAACCTGAATGGGCCCGAATGGGATGGCCCACAGTGGGCCATCATGGGCTTAATGTGGGCAGCCCGCAAGTGTGGGCTGCTCACTGATAGCCCGCAGTGAGCCCAAAGCTGTGGGCCTCGTCTGGGCAACCCGCACTGGGCCTGTTTAGGTTTGGCGTGGGCTGGCCCTAGCCCACTGTGCCCACAAAAAGCCAGCGTCGGCCCCGCAGGGGCATGTTTGCAGGGACATTATATCCTGCCATAGCACAGTTCCACGTGGAGACTGAAAAAATCCTTTAAGTCATTCCGAACAGGTATCGTTATGGCAGCTCGGGTGGAACCTTTATTTTATTGTCTATGGGTGGAACGGGCCCTGGACATCCGTGTTGATTCTGTGGGGATAAAGTTTGTGTCGTCTTGTTATTCAACGTCGATTAGCTCCCGCTGGCAGCTGCTAAAACAACATTCTCTCTCTTTCGCTCGCGGCGCACGGAACCAAAGAGATTCGCGAACCCCCCTAGCGTTCTGGAGGCGAAATGCACCGCGATGCACCACAACCTCACGCAGAAGTATAAAACGGCCACGTGACGACGTAGCTACGCCGTGGAGTTGATGCAGAAGCATAATGAGGCCTTTAGATGACGCCGTAGGATCGCGTCATGTAAGTGACGCTAAAGGGCGCCTAAAACGTCAAATATTGAAGCATGGTCAAAGGTGACGCCTTGGGGTGAAAATGTGTTGCGATAGAGGGGAGAAATAAGTACAATTTCTGTATCATCAGTTCTATTTCAAGCCATAATGAAGACGGCAAAGCCATAATTTTCCCCCTCAAATTTCTATGAAAGACTAAAATTTTGTGCAACAATCATCAGTTTTCTCATCTGAAAAATAAGATATCTGTATTTTGTATACATTGCTAAAAAGTTAAAATGCAGTGTATAACTAAGCATAGTGTATCAGTAAGTGTGTATGTGATGCATTGTGGATCCCTGAATCTTTCTCTTTACTGCAGACGAGGGGTAGTGGAACTGAAGATGACTACGAAAACAGAAACTTGAGTAAACATCAGCCCAAATCGGAGCCATGGCTAGAAGTTAGCTAGACACAACATGCTGTGGTGCCCATGTTGGAGAACAGATTCTAATCTGGCATGAGTCCTGTTTTGTGCGCTTCTCTGCACTGTGTGTTTCGTATCTCTACAGTTAAATGGCAAAATTTTAAATAATGAATCAAATCAAAATGGCAGAGGAGTTATCATCTGAATTTGCAGGTTCTTTTAATTTTATGAAGATTACCATTCCATTCTAAGCCGCTCGGGCCGCCATGTTCTCCCTAGTGTGGGATCCGTATAGTGTGGGTTCCCCAGGTAATGTGTGTACTCTCTCTGGACCTCTGCTTCTCGGAAATATTATGTATTGTGCACATTATTTTTTGATGGACATCAATGTCATGACATTCAAATGATGTGGATATGAAAACAGATGGATCGTAAGGTAATCATTTTTTATTTCCTATAGCTCTCAAGTATTCAGTGAAGTGATTAATGCCCATGAGTTTGTCAATGTTTTTAGTTCTAATAATCCAAAATGACAGATATGATAATGTACATGAGGGGGTTGTTGGGATAATTATAAAACGTTCACAATTTTACGTAGTCCATTATACTTTATTATACATTTAATATACTTTGGCTTAAAGGGTTAGTTCACCCAAAAAAAATTAAAGTCTGTCAATAATTACTCACCCTGATGTAATTCCAAACACATAAGACTTTGTTTCATTGTCAGAACACAAATGAAGATCTTTTTAATGAAATATGAGAGCTTTCTGTCCCCATTAACACCTAAGCAACTACCACTTTATGCTTCAAAAAGTTCATTAAGATCGTAAAACTAATCCAAATCAATCGGGCGGTTTAGTCTAAATTTTATGAAGATATATAACCAATTTATATGATGAAAATATTGAATTCAGGCTTTTATTCACATATAAACATTGATCAGCAAACATAAACAGAAGCTCAACCGAACCCAAAGACACACAAGAACAACCTCTTGCTCAAACGTGCAACGTGACACGAGAATGAAACTCATTGGTTCTCAAACATCAAGTGAACACGATTGCGTTTCCGTTTACCGCAACTGTGCGAGTTGAGGAATGTTTATATGTGAATAAAAGCCTAAATTAAGTCTGTTCATCTTTGTCTATTCAGAAAATGTGGCCTGAACCGCTTAATTCGTCTTGTGATCTCTGTATGAACTTGGCTCGGATTTCATTGTGGTCCCAAGGTGAACTACAGTCAGTCTTATGGGTTTGAAACGACATGAGAGTGAGTAATTAATGACAGAATTTATTTTTTTGGGTGAAATCCCTTTAACCATTTTGCATGTTATTATATTATATGTAAGCTGGTCAGAAATGTTAAATTCAGCTGTCACATGTGTTGGTTCTTGAATATCAAGTTCCTAGGAAAGGAGTGTTTTGTTGCACAAAGTTGTTTTTATTGTCACCTTTTACAGAAATGTTGCATTTAAACTGATGAAAATGCGCAGATCCTGGTGTAAATTATAATGAAAAAATGTTTTGTTTTGTTTTTGTTTTGTTTTTTTAACTGGTGTTCCAAAAAGTTTTTGACTCTTATATCAAAGTTTGAGACCCGTAATGAAAAAAAAAGTTACTAGCATCAAAAAGTGTGTTAAAAAATATGTTTCACCATATTAAGTCCATCGTTAGTGTATCCTGAATGCTTGTTTCGTGGGTTGAAGATTTGTGACGTCTTAACAGTATGCGAACTCGAAAATAAATGAGAAATATTTTCCTCTTCTTCTCACTTTAACTCAATCCTTTAGTCACTCTCTCTCACTTAATCTGTCCGTCTGTCTGTCTCTCTCCTGCATTCTTTGCATTCCATTAGTCACCGACAGGCAGATTAGAGATGAAAAACGGTGTGACGAAAACGGAATTCACACTCCCCTCCCGTCAGCTATTTGTGTCTGTGTGTGAGGATGTCGATGTGTTTGTGCATCACAGGAAAGTCCTCATTTTCAGACTGTGGAATTGAACTTAAGTAAGAGGTTGTCTTTGAATTTCCATCGGCAAGAAGAACTATTCGTAATTTGAAATAGCTGATTAATGGAAAACTATGGACAGAAGGCATGAATGAAGAAATAACGAAACATCAACATATTAAGAAATCTAAAATTAGGCAGCCTGTCAATTATTTTCACTTTTCATTATTTTCATACAGTTTTCTCTATGAAATCTTTTTTTTTTTTTTTTGGGGGGGGGGGGGGGATTCTTATTGTTTTATTAATGTATTTTATATTAATTCTTGGCTTAAATAACATCAAAGTCCATCAGCAAGCCAATTAGAATCAGGCATTAGTCAAGCATTTATGTAGCGCTCTATAAGCTGTGGTAACACACCTGGAAACTATTAACTGAGTGGGCTGGGACATAAATACTGTCAACCGCGGTGGTTTTAGTACGCTGTGCTATATAAACTCTTTAAAGTTGTTGGCTGACGTCTTTTTATAACAAAAATGCCTAGTCTTGGAGATTTAATTTAAAGAAGGAATGAAGCTTGACTTTTAGAAGACACAAAACGTCAAACAGCGTCTCTTTTAGTAGGCTACCTACAATACATTTGAATGGGTTAAAGGGATCACCCAAAAAAATAAAATGTTGTCATATCACTTACCCTCAAGTTGTTCCAAAGCGTATGAGTTTTTTTTTTCTTCTGTTGAACACAAAAGAAGATGTCTTCAATGTTGGTGTGACGATGTCATAAGTTACCCCTAATTTCTGTGTCAACCGTGCGTGTTTGGTTTATTTATTTGTATAAATATTTGTTTGGTTTCCATTATTGGTTTAAATATAATGGTTAGGCCTACTTTTTCTGGTTAGATGGACTCCAAAAGAAGAGTTTTTTTTCTTTTATTTAGAATTTATATCAACATATTTTAACTTAACTTTTTGTCTCTGGGCTCATTGCTGCAGTAGCTATGGTTACAGGGATGGGTGTTAAAGAGGAAGTGAAGCCTTCCTGCTTTAAATTTCGACTCCCATATATGGTTGAACCATTGAGAATAAAAGGATTCATCTTGTCTGTCTGAGTCAGTTCTGGAGAGGGTCGTATTTAGTGTCTCTGTTTTGTGTTCTTTTTTATTTATGCCTGTTTTTTTTTTTTTTTTTTTTTTTTTTGTAGCCAATGGAACTTTAAATTGTCCGTGGTGTCTCCTGCCTTTGCTCTGGCCATGTCCCCACAGTTTGTAACCAAACAGTTGACGGTAGCCATTGACATCCATTATAGGGAAAAAAAATACTATGGAAGTCAATGGCTACTGTCAACTGACTGGTAACCAACATTTATTTTTAGTTTTCATATCTTCTTTGGTATTCAAAGGAAGAAAGAATCTCATTCAGGTTTGAAACAACATGAGTAAATGATGACTAAATTTTCTATTTTGGGGGTGGACTATCCCTTTAAGGGCCATGAAACAATAACAATGGTGTTCACGCCACAGGAAAAGTCTCGTGATGATGTCACAAATGACTGGTGCTTGATTCAGACTCACTGATGATGACAGATGCTTGGATCACCCCTGAACAAAATGTGCATGAGAGAGCAAGTCTGTGTGTGTGAGGCCATAGGAAGACATTAAGTCATTATAGACTGTTATGACTAAAACTATCCTGTCCGGGCACATTGGCTGATATCACATTTAAAAAAAAAAAAAATTTGGATCTGGAGATTCTGGTCATTCACTGTTTTCGCAATTTTACTTGCTCGACTGGAAAAAATGTGGTTTTCCCAAACATAACAGTGGTAGGCCACAAAAGAGATTTAGGTCACTAAAACTGAATTATCCAGATTTGTTTTGGGATTCCCCTTTCTTCACTGATCTAGGAGTTTTTGGACTGTAATCTGACCCATTCCCAGTGCCTGGGAATTCTATGCTTTTTACCTCTGTATATTGTTTCCTTGTTCAAAAGAATAGAATGAGAAACAGACAAAAACACATGACTGTAACCTAATATCCTGGTTTAGTAATTTTATACTGTCATAGGCAGTGTACGGAGCATATAAATATATATTATATACATACAGATCCATGCTCATGACATGTAAAGCAGAAAAAAATGCTGGTAAATGTCACATGACAGTGACATGTTGGATGTAGTACGTCTGAATTTCCTTCATAGAACATACTTTTTTAATCGTCATGTAAGTTCAAATGTAGTACCTCAGGGTACGATTAGACAACAGTGCTTTGCATTTGTATTAAAATCCATTGTAAACAATCCTCATACACGGATGTGCGAAAAACGACTTAAAACTATGTATTCTGCTGCTCGGCCAGTAATGGCGGTGTCACTTTCATCTCATGACCAATTCGTATGAATTTGACGCATGATTAAAAAGTGTCTAATTCGTACGACCTCACTCGTACTAATTCCTACGATTTTTCTAAACCCACGTGATGGTTAGGTTTAGGGGCGGGGTCAGGGGTAGGTCATTCGTACAAAATATGTACGATTTAGCAAAATCTTATTAATTCGTACGTGTGAGGTCGTATGAATTGTTACGAATTAGCCACTTTTTAATCATTCGTCGAATTCGTACGACTTGGTCGTGACATCGGGTTGGTCACTTTATAAACAAACACAACGCGCCTATAGACTGAACATGTAACACGTATGTGCATGATGTCACCATTTTCACAAATTCACAGTTTTGTTCTTAAAAACTTTCACCTTGAAACCCATTTTCAAAAGTTTGCATTGTCACGCCTCCAAAACGCTATTTTTGTGTAAATGAAGGGCCAAAAAGCATAAATGCCTTACGTTTTTAGTTAAAAATGGTAAACGATCATGTAAACGGACCCTTAGACAGTGCGATTTCGGACGCAAGGCGAAACTTCCTACTGTGTGCCTGTTTGTTACCATAGTAACCTAATGTGTCCACCTGTTAATTCACTCAATTAGTCCTGTGCAGTTACTTGTTAATTATTGTCTGTTATGACACTTTACATTTTTGTTGTTCTTGTGATCTTTGTTTTATATTAGGAAGAAGATTATGAGGTTTAGTGTTTAGCTAAAGTGTTTACACACGCTTTGGATGCAACTAGCTTAGTGAAATCTGTACATTGTTTGGTTCCGGCTGTACAACCAATGCAGCAGGGCAACTGGGTGACCGTGAGACGCTGTAGTCGCGGGTCCAAACACTGCTCTTCCTACCCTATCTCACGACCAATTCGTACGAATTCGTACGAGTAATTCAAAAGTGGCTAATTCGTACTAATTCATACGACCTCACTCGTACAAATTTGTACGATTTGTCTAAACCCACGTGACGGTTATGTTTAGGGGCGGGGTCAGGGGTAGGTCATTCGTACGAATTCTTACGAATTGGCTAATTCGTAAAATATGTACGATTTAGCTAAATCGTACTAATCCGTACGAGTGAGGTCGTACAAATTGTTACGAATTAGCCACCTCGTTAAATTCGTACGAATTCCCGTGAGATC